AGGCACACACACAGAGAGAGGCAGAGAGGCACACACACACACAAAATAATCCCCACCACCCCTTCCCCCAGATGGTAACTGGGATGGACTTAATGTCAAATAGGGCACAGAAAGATCCCAAGGGCCAGTCTCTCAGACTGCAGCCCTGTTTCTGTGCGAGGGTACTTTTCAAATGAGAGAAAAAAAAATAAAACATATTTAATCCCCGAACCCCCGGAAATACAGAGCGGTGTGACTCTGATCCCCAACTGTAGAAAAAAAATCACAATCACCTCCGAACAGAGACCCTCCGTCCCCCCCAAATCTCCCCACCCACACCCCCCAGGTCCCCACTCCCCTCCACATCCCAACCTCACCATCAATACAACAGTCTACTGACATGAACGGGACACACACACAAGGAGAAAGAAAATCTTTACCAGCTACAAGAACCATCAGTCCGGTCACAGTCCCGATCATCTCGCCCCTGGTTTATAAATTGAAAGAAATTAACAAGGATTAGCCCGAAAAACAGACGACAAACTAAAACAAAAGACGATTATTTGAAGAGGGATGTAGAGAGAGAGAGAGAGAGAGAGAGAGAGAAAGAAACGGCGGGGGGGGGAATCAATTTCGGACTGTGCTGTCTGCCAGGGAATTTCACACACATAAAACTTTCTAAAACACCAACAGAAGGTTGTGGAAAATGTTTTAAAATAACAGACAGACAGCGAGATCTTTCAGATCACGATTCCCTTAAAGCCTAATTCCCAAAAGATCCGCTCCTTCTCTATCTTAATTTCAAAAACAACACAGAAAACAGTTTATTTCTGTTTGTTCCCGGGGGGTGAAAGAGATGGTGGGGGGTCAGCATTTAGGATTACAGAGGTGAGAAATGAGCTTTAATTTGGAAAAATAGAAGAGGGATTTGTGTTAGATTTTTAATTAAAAAAACTACACACACAGACAGACACACACAGACACACAGAGTCTCCAGAAACACTCCCCACACACTGATGTACAAAAACTAAAAGTGGTGGTTTGAGAGGGGGAGGGAGATTTTAGGAAGGAATTCTGAGCTATAACAATTCTGGAAATAACATCCTGAACAAAAGAGAGAGGGGATGCTGGTTTTACGGATATTTTTTCCCCCCCCAAATCTAAAGCACCGACCATTTCCTAATTCCTCCTCTCCTTCTCCTTGAACATCTGAATCTGACAGGTTTGCATGAGCAATATGGAGGCCTGTGTTTGGGAACACGGGCCTAACTTGGAGAGATGGGAAGAGAATCAGAATTCCATCTCAATAGTCCAGCTCACCCACCCCGACTTCACAAACAGCTCCCCTCCTCTCTCTGTCTGTCTCGCCCCCTTCCCCAAAATTAAAAGAGACGGTGCTACAAACCCAGTCCACACTGACTTACAAAATATTTTTCTCCAAAGCAGAGGTGTAGGCAGCAAACAAGGTTAAACCCAGAGCACAAGAGGGAGAATTCAACAACCACCGACTTCAATATTCACTCCACACCCTCTCCACGTACTGGGAGGAGTCTCTTTAACCCCTCCTTTAGCAAATACTTTTCAATGCCTCACATTTCTCTCCTTCCTGACATATCCCTCTCTACGGAGGTAGCTGGGAATCACAAATACAGGGATACCACAGGCAGGAGAGACATTGAACAGACCGGGCTGAATCCCACAGGGAGGATAACATGGGACTCACTCCCACAGGGAGGGAATATGTGTTGATGCATTAAGGGGGTGGGGGGAGGTAAGCTTGATTAACATATGGGAGAAAAAGATATAGTGATGGGGTATACTCCCGTCAGCACTGACCCTCCGACAGTGCCCACTCCCTCAGCACTGACCCTCCGACAGTGCCCGCTCCCTCAGCACTGACCCTCCGACAGTGCGGCGCTCCCTCAGCACTGACCCTCTGACAGTGCCCACTCCCTCAGCACTGACCCTCCGACAGTGCGGCGCTCCCTCAGCACTGACCCTCTGACAGTGCCCACTCCCTCAGCACTGACCCTCCGACAGTGCGGCGCTCCCTCAGCACTGACCCTCTGACAGTGCCC